CCTTTGTAAATGAACATGCACGGTGACAAAGAGAAAGTAAATCCCGTTTTATCGGCTTGTGGTACGACAACCCTGCAACTCCCACAGCATGACATGGCGGTCGCCGTCCAAAGAAACTCGCCGTCATGAATCGCATGTTTAATGGAGTATTTCGATGGGATATTGAGCCGTTTTATAGCATCATTTGTGAGCAGCCGGTCTTCGAGAGTGCGCCTATGTGCGGCCTTTTTTTGAGTTTACGGGGCCTAGGCTACAGGCTGCGTACATACTTTGCGGAAGCGTCTCGCGCGAATGGGAAAGTATAGGTATCAATCTGGCATTTTGAGGGTACATCAGAGTTTTCAGCAGCTGTCACTTCAAAACATCCCGCTCAAAAGGTTTACGCTCAAAAAGCTAGATCGATACTATACTCTCCTATTCCCACTACCGTACGCTCTAAGCTCTCAGAACGCTGAAGCAAAGTATTAATCTATCTAAAGGATACGACTAAGAAAGGGGAACCTCGAGAAACTGACCTCGACTTAATAGCAAAAGAAGGAAATATAGACGAAACAGTACGAATTCAAAGTTACCGTGATGATCGTGGTGGAAGAGAATCTGCAGAAGGAGCTGTCGACATCGTAGACGTCGTCCCCATGGTGGGAAACGGAGGAAACTGACGCGGTGATCGTCCAAAATCCCGACTGTAGTCACGATAATCACCTCGATCTCCAATCGACAGGCTATCGCTTTGATCATCAAGCGACATCCACTGAATAGGAAGAAATGAATTACAAGGCCTAACACAAATATGAAAATGCTCACTCAAAAAGTACGGCAAATAGACAGTATGGGAAGAAAAAAGCTTTTGATAGCACATTGTTGGTGATGACTAACATCGAAAGATTGCTGCATGCCGTTCATGGTGCCATTCGATGACCGACTAGCTGTCCTTGTCATAATAACACCCGCTTCGGGCCCAATATTTTGGGCAATCACACGACGAGATCCCCCAACCACTCTGCGGATAGCTGGCGATGTCTGAGTTTCACAGGTCCGCCGTACCTGAAACTTTCATTCAGCACGATAGGACAACCAAGTCAGATCTACAAAATATAAGGGTTACCAAGAGTGAACTTACCCGGGCATGCTCTGAGCTTTCTGTATTCTCTTTCAAAGTCTGCAGCTTTGCAAGAGGAATGATGTCAATCTCGGGTCCCATCGGTCGCTGCCAGATCGTTTTCATCGACGAAGCGTTATAGTAGTAATAACGACCCGTCTTCGAGTCAAACAGCTCCCACCATTGATTCTCGTGCGTCCGCTTTCTACAATGAGAACTAGGTGACGCACAGCAACGATGGCATTCGCGCACATGAAGAAGCTGCTATTAATACCCATCATACTCCGCATTTACAAAACTTTCTCGTTCATCGGTAGTATTTAGTCATGGAAAAATTTTAAAATCTGGAAAGTAATGAATAGTAACTGCGCGCTATGGAGATGTTTTTACAGGGAATCGCACGGGCCTCGTCATTTTGCAATAGTGCCATCACGTTCCAGCGAAAAAAAAACATTCCGAGTAAACAAAAATTTTTCATCAGAAAAAAGAAAATTAATGTACAGTTCTCGAGAGATAACATCCATGTATTGGGGAGGGTTGCAAACCCTACCGGGCACAGTGTGGCGAGAAGGGAGGGGGGAGGTGGGCACTTTCTGCTTCTGCTGCGTCAATCGCTCCAGTTTACAACGCTATGGTAAAACTTGCGAACTCCTGTGAAACTGGAGTAAAGTCGTCGAGCCACCAAAAGGTAAAGGTGGTATGGTATTTCGCTTTATAAGAGCTGACAAGAAGGGTCTCCGGGTCACATGTCTCTACTTGATAGCTAGACACGTGATGGGGAGCAGAAGAAGGGCGAAACACCCCCCCCCCCTCAACACAGTATTCGCTGCAGTCAACAGAAAGCAGCATATTGCCTAAAATCGTAATTCCAGATATAAAGATGTTACTCTGAAATGAATGACGGTCAAAACAATCGTAATTTGCTCGCGCGGCGATCGGCGCGACATTTTTTAAGCCTGTCGACAAGAGCACCTGACCATGTACACACGACATCGTGGACATTCGTGGCCGTTTTTGTTACCCGTTGTCATTGTCGCCATCTACCACGTAGAAACATTGTCACCTGTGCACGACGTCATACACGACCTCCATAAACATTGCGCATTACGATTGTCTGGTCATACCCCTCACCCTCCCCCCAAATAGGTTGCCTTATGAACAAAAACACCCC